TTACGGGGCGTCCGGGGAGCGTCCGGGCGGGGTTTCATTTGTAGTCCGGGTTTAAAAAATTCCTGTTTTGGGTCGCCAACTAATCCGTCAATTTATATGTCTTTGAAAATAAATAAATCTATTCTAACACTGTAACCATAAATGCTGACTTCCAACAAAGATCTGCTTTGTCGCCTACACTGTCCGCAATAACAGCATTCGTTGCTATGTGGATGACAGCACTGAAACTTTTTACACTGGCCGGTCAAACATCCCTCGGATGGAAGAAGAAGGGTGTAAAGACAGACTTTTGTCCGAGATTGAGATGTTACTGGATCAAGTCGCAAATTGGAGCCAACAAAATTTTATTAGATTAACACATTTTTAACTGTTTTTTTATTGGTCTGTCCGGGTTCTGGGCTACAAAATCCGGGGTTATCACGCGTCTTATCCTGGTTGCCACATTTTCGACATGGCAGCCCTAGTTGTGAATATTGACACTAAGTTTCGCATAATGATTTTCAGCTTGGCAATAATGATGAACTGTTGTGAAGAATGATATTTAGTAGAATACAGCTTTTATTCTTGAAGTTTCAAGGAATTCAGGTGATTTTAGAATGAATTGTGTAAGATAATAAATAATCTAGAACCTTGTTATCTCTTGGCAATGGTGTTACTATTATAGGTACCCGTACATACTTTTATATACTCCTAAGTTTGCTAGAAGGATAGACCAATACTTAATAGACTAAATAGCCTATGTTTAGCTTTCGTTTAAGTTAATCTAATCCCAATAATTTGATATTTTGTAACAAATCAAATATGTATATCAATAAAAATAGTATGCATAATTTTTTTATAAATATTTAGCTGCTGGAAATATTTAGTATAATTATGAAGATAATATAGATAGTTTTTTTAAGCTATATTAGTATGTTTTCTTATGATTTTGAACATTAAGATTATATTGTTTAAACACATTTTTATTTTTACTTACAGCAAGCAAAATGCCGCAAACCAAAGAACAGAGGCTAGCAAAACAGCGCATATGTAAAAGAAGACGCTATAACGAAATAAAAAATGATCCTGAGCTGCTTACCATTGAAAAGGAAAAACGAAGAAAACAATATTTGAAAAGAAAAGAAGAAAAAAAGATTGTCCAGATCAAAGATAAAACTCCTCGGTCACAAAGAGAACAAAGAAAAAGATGGAAAGAAAATTCCAGAAAGTATCGAGAGAGAAAAAACCTAAATCTTAATAAAGGAAGTCCGATTAGAAACTATTCAAGTTGAAGCAGCCGTGGATGCAAATTTACCTAACGAAGCTGAGAGTATTCACAAGGAAGAAGACCCTTTGCAACATGATTGTGAGTGTCCAGCAGTAAAACGCGCAGTTAGGAAAATAAGATACAGAGAATTTAAAAAAAGAAAAATATTGATTGCTATAATAAATGCTTTGAAAAAGAAAAATGAGTCCCAACGTAAAAGTATAATAAATCTACAGAAAAAACTTGAAGTCACGCGAAAGTTACCAATTGAAAACACAAAGATAAATAATAAACCAAGTAAAAGATGCTCCTAAATTACTTACGCTACAAAAAAAATGTATAAGAATCATGGCCAATATAGATACAATGGAAAGCTGTAGACCATTTTTCATAAAATATAAAATACTTACTGTAACGTCTTTATATATCCTGGAAGCATGTAAACTAGTAAAAAAGAACCAAAATATTTTTGTAAATCGTAAAGATAATTGTACTGGATCAATACAACTTAGAAGTAGATATAAATTTGTAGTATCAAAAACTACGCTATCAATAGTTGGATCAGGGCCGTATTCAATGGCGATTAAATTGTACAACGAGTTACCAAAGCATATTAGACAGATAGACGAATACGATAAGTTTGTTAGAACCTTAAATGATTACCTTGTTAATAAATGTTTTTATAAATTATGTGAATACTATAGGACTATTAAATAATTTCAAATATTAAAGACACCTTGACATGCTGATTATTATTATTCTTATTATTATTCTTAATTATTATTGTTAAAATTGACTTGATATTTATTTGATAATTGTTAATATACTACTACTTATTCATGTTGACATAAATTTAATTTTAGCTATAAGTTCATAATTGTTATGTCCTAACAGGACTCATGTGTTTGTACCATATAACAATGTTAGACCTTATTTACCACATGAAATGCAATAAAATTTCTGATTCTGATTCTGAAAGACGTAATTTATCACCTAAATCCCCAAGTCGCAAACACCGCATATCTGACATAAAAAGTCAATAATTTCATTTTATTGTGACGAAGCCAATAGTACCGTTGCTGCAGGAAAAAAAGTATTCGTTACAAGGAATAAGAAAAGACAGCAGAAACGATACCTGACAGCTCCGTTGATAGATTTACATAAAAAAATTCAAAATGAGACTAGCTATAAAATTCATTATTCATTTTTTTGCAAAAACCGACTGGGTTCTGCATCCTAAGCCAGCTAATAGAGAAACATGCGTGTGTGCTACTCATGTTAATATGGAATTGATGGTAAGCGCCATGAGTAAGGCATATATTATAAAAGAAAAAAAAACCAGAAGACATATTCACCACATTGTGTTGCGATTCTTATAACACAGATTGCTTGCAAAGAATTTGCCTAAATTGTGTAGGACGGGACCTCGTATATAAAGAAATTAATAATGAGATTGTCTTAACGATTCTTCAATGGAATAGGGTCAAAAAAGAAGTAGTTTTAGATAATGGAATGAAGCACTCAGAAGCCATTTCCAAATTAAAAGCCGAACTGCCAAACTACTTTAATCATGTACACAAAATTGTAAATCAGTACAAAGTAATTAAATCGCTTAAAAATAATTTGAATATCCATGAAGCTATAATACACGTCGACTTCTCCGAAAATTATAATTTGAAATATGCAGAAGAGGTGCAATCATTCCACTTTGGAGGAAGTCGGCAACAAGTATCACTTCACACAGGTGTGATTAATACTCACAGTTTTGTAACTGGACAAGTAATCCCTACATCCATGTGTACTCTTAGTTCCTGCCTTCGACACGACGCTGCTTCTATTTGGGCTCATTTACTGCCTGTTCTTGATCAAGTTATGGAACTAAATCAGTTTGTAGATACAATTCATTTCTTATCCGACTCTCCGTCGTCTCAATATAGAAACAAATACATGTTTTATATTATCAGCCAATTGTCGTCTCACCACTCCAGCATAACCAGAATAACTTGGAATTACTCCGAAGCTGGGCACGGAAAGAGTGCCCCTGATGGCATTGGCGCTACGGTAAAAAGACTAGCAGATCAATGGGTTCATTTTGGTTCAGATGTTGGAAACTTTGAACAATTTTACAAAATCATGGAATCAAGATTAGAAAATGTTATAATTAAAAAGAAATTATTCAAAGGGAGAAATTGATTCCCGAGCAGTTGAAACCCTTCAAAGGCACCCTCTCTGTACATCAAGTTCTTTGGGACCTTTTTACACCAAAAATTACAATGAGAAATATGAGTTGCTTTCTATGTGACGTTGGTGAAATTTGCAACCATGGAAAGCATCTAGGGTATATTATCAACAGTAATTATGCCGTTAATCAAAACACTATAACTGACGTAACTTCTTGTAACATTGTTCCACTGGCAAAAACTAAACGCAAATTTACAAATCAGAACAAAATCAAGCTTATTTCTGATATTCTTATTGATGACACCAATAAGACTACACATCAGTAATTAATATTTGATACATTTAATGATTCTTTTGAATTCTTTTTTCTTTGTATTCTGTTACCCATAAATCACTATAAGAATTTATTATTAATACAATACATTTTCTTTTTTCGAAATATTGTGATGGAAGTTTTTACGAATTAAGAGCCATTTACATGATGCAAGTTTCTTGCCTGTTCCATATAATTATTTTAAATTGAATCAATAAATGACTAGCATAGTCTATACAGCACGTAGCATTCTTGATCTATTATACAAGTTATGCTTCAAAACTTTTCTTGGTATGCAACCTTTTTATTAAATCCACGTGTTCTTAAAGATCAATTATTGCGCTACATTTATTGCATTCAAATATTGTTCTAGTATGTACAAGAAAATGTCATCATGTAATAAGTATTTAATGTGTAACTCCCTCGCTAAGTCAAATACATACTTGTAAGACATAATTAAGGTGTTCATTAGTAAGATAATGGTATATATTTGATGTATAAGGTTAACTAACTAATTAAGTTTTGACTGTTCCTTAAGTTATTGTCCATTAAGTGAATAGTTGACATACATGATTATTAAGTAAATAACCAATTAGTTGCTACAGATATAAGTTAATTAATGACTGTGATTTTTAATGATTACCAAAGAATTAATTATTTAAGAAGACTACCTAGAATGATTAAGTTTTTTAGAACCAAATAGTTATAATCTCAATTACTTAGTTTTGATTATTTGTTAGTTTCTTATCAAAGTTTGATGAATAAAATTGTTTTAAATGATTAAGTAAGTGTTTATTGTGAAATACCCAAATTGAAACCTTTTAAATCATTTACTACAACACTGCGTCATTATGTTCCATGCTGATATCATTCTCAGCATACTGTGTCATTTTCCTCAACGTGAATAATTCTAAATTTAAAAATATTGGTTTAAATATTAAAATAAAACAAGTGCCCTTCTTTTTGAAATTAAATTTTATACACATAGATTGCATTTAACTTATTAAAACATCCTTGCATTGAGGTTTATTAAAAAAACTAAAATTTTGTCAAAGATAATATATATCAAAGAATGACCCATGAACATAATATAATTTCTGGTTATGGTCAGGCCAAGCCATAGTGAAGCGTCGGTGTTTTTCTGTGCTTACAAAGTATTAATTCTTCAGGTTACCACTTCATACAAAAAGTTGGATCAAAAAGTAATTTAATAATGCACGGTGGTTACACATTTGCTAAAAGCAATACTGCGACCAGAATATGGTATTGCTCGCAGAGAAGAAGAGGCTGCAAAGCGAAGATCATATTTGGTTTGGACGATACAATAGTCAAGGTGAACTCGGAACACACACATACCCCTCCGGAATTTCATATGACTAAGTCGGGTCAATACATTTTGGTGAGAAGTTCTCGGCCAATCGAAAACTCTTTCAATGTTTTAGAATAAATTACCTTTTAGTAATTATATTAACGAGATTTCTAATATTTTAGTAAGTACCAATCAGCGTGCTAATATTTGTATATATTAGGTATAATACTTTAAAAGATGATGAATTTCTATCTATTTTATTTATTTAATGTAATGATTCATATCCCTCATATGTGCTCATTACATTAAATAACATTTCCAGAGAAAATGGTATATATGCTCTTAAATTATAGGTGTGCACAATAATTTTATAAAACAATATTTAAGTTAATAATGTAAGTAAAGAATTTAAAAAATAATAACATTAACAATTAAATAATTTCAGGTATAAAAAATTAGTATCTGTTTTATTCTATTACAATACAACTTACGTAGTTGAAAGGCAAACATGTCGTTATATTATTATGTATAAATAAATATACTGACGACACGAGGACTTATGTATTTACACATACACACGGATCCGTTACCAACAAAAATAACATTGGGTATGTTATTCTTTTCCATATGAATAAAAGTGTTATATATAAATATTAACTATGATTTTTACTTATTTATCGTATATTTGATTGCATCTTTACACCCCTCCTACAAACCAAAAAAAATCATACCCGGCGTACCTACATACCACTCGCTCTACGGTGCTCGTCCGTTCGTCCGTCTTAATGTATAATTATGCTAAAAAATATGTACCAGTAACATTAATTTTCATTCTCCATTAGAATTCATCTACATCCCTGCCGGCCACAAGAAGAATTTGATTATGTTCAGAGGATACACGTTTTCAACTTATGGCAAAAACCTCTGGTATTGTTCAAAAATTAAGTTCGGATGCAAAGCTAAGCTCAAATTAGATGACAAAGAGCGAATCATTTACGCTCGTGATATACATTGTCACGAACCTCCGGAATACTGCGTGACTAGTTCTGGCAAATATATTTTAGTACGTAAGCGCAATGATGATTATTGATTTATCGAGGATGTTAAACTAAGCTATTTTGTAAAATACCACATGTGTAAAAAGGATGCTTTGTAAAATATAGAAATTAATGTTAATCATATCGTTTTATTTTACTAAATTCGTTTTTTAACAGCAGGACAGTGATAAGGGACAGCTATATTGTCCCAAGAGATGTAATTATTACGGGGACTGCATACTGGAGAAGCCTGTTTCATACTCAATTAACATTTTCCTGCAAAGTATATTTGAATAAAATAAGAATTGAAATCTAGCCCATCAAAATATAAATTTAAGGAACTTAGTTCCAAAAGTTGGATAAAATAGAGGACTCTGCAACCGCAAAAAATCACTTAAGTGGTTCTGCGGGGTATTGTATGTTAATAATTGTGGTATACATAATTAATGACATATTTTAGAGTACTCATATTTATTCTATTTTCCAGACACTGTTTATGTAAAATCGGACACCGGAAAAATATCGTATATAATTATACCATCGCAAAGAGGCGGCAAAGCTATGTTGTACAATGGCTTCAGATTTAATGTTAAGAGGGAGAATAAACATGGCAACACAGTTTGGTGTTGTGCTAAGAAACACATATGTAAAGGATCTGTTATAACTTGTGGTGATACTGTGATAGTTAAAGAAACCAAACATACCTGTCAACCAGATGAAACTGTAAATCAGATAAAACTGATGCTTCAAAGGTGTATAGCGAAATGCGAGGCAGATTTTAGACCGGTCAAGTCGATCTATGATGCAGAAGTTGAGGAATTTAAGCAAACGCACACAGATATTGAAGCAAAGATACCAAAATTTGATAGCGTGAAGAAAATTTTATATAAATACAGAAATAAAGCATTGGAAGATAGTGGAAGAAAACTGAAACAATATATTTAATAATTCAACGTAATATGTCCTTATACGAGTATTTGAAATACCTATAGCTCAGCAGAAGAATATAAATTATCGATATTATTAGAAATGGTGCAAATTAAATTAATTAATGTGATTTCCTTGTAATAATAATTTCTAAAGTATGTATCGTAATTCTATTAACATAATTTTGTGACATTAAAAGCAAATTTAGTGATTTACTCGGGTGCGGCAGAATAATATTGCACCTTGTAAAATACTCCCACCATACCCGATCCTGCACATCTAGGGCAGCAAAAAAAACAATCAATCAACAATGGGCCATGACTTGTTCGCATCCAAATCGTCAGTATTTTGAATAGAAGTTACTGGAGTGTTCACGTAACGTTTCTGACGACAAATAATATTAATCTGCCAGTTTGCTTGCTGTGGTGGGAAGCCGTACGAAGGGTAATAAAAAAATCAAGTTATGAGATGTTACGTGAACCTTTTTGTTGTCCCTATTCAAAAATTGGACAATTTGGATGCGACTAAAAGTCATGACCGATTGTTGAATTATTTTTTGCCCCCTGGACTATCGGTCCTATATAAAGTGCTCAGGTATAGTGGAAGTACTTCACAAGGTGCAAGGGTATTCTGCTGCGCCCGAGTAAATCCCCAAAATCCCTGCTTGAGTTCGACTACTATTAATGATTTTTTATTATAATCATTTTTGACACAGGCACGGAATATTTCGAGACTTTTGACGCAAATGTTAAGAATGACAAAAGGAATGCGTACAGAAGTTTCGAGTTTTTTTTATTTAATATTCCGAGGTTGTATTAATTGCTATAAGTGAAGCGAATTTGTAAGTAGCAAATAACGTGTTTAATTTTGTCTCCAGGTGTTGTGGAGTTTATGCCAAGTACTCGCGGCAGTGGACAAATTTTGGTCTTCAAGGGTCATACTTATGGTTGCATGGGCAATAAGGATCGCTGGTACTGCACCAAAAAGTCGCGAGGATGTAAAGGGAAGTTGTGGATAAGGGATGGCGTGGTGAAGCGTGAGGTGGGCCATGACCACGACCCACCTAAACTCTTCAGAATGCACGATGGAAATATAATTCGGGTTTAAGAAAATGGACCATCTAGGACATGCATGCTTTGAGAATAACTGGAAATTATCTATTTGATGGCATCTGAATTATGTCACCACTACCCGGATATGGATTTCTTACTAGGTTATTATGCAGAAAAGATCTTTGCATCATTCCTTTGTCAGGGAATGATCGCATCTGATGAAGTCTGTGAGGCCTTTATGGCCATAGGCCCCGCATTTAGTTATATAATACCCATTTATGTGTAACTGTATTTCAGTTTTTGTTACAGCTGCAATAGGCATTCTGTCACTGTTTCAACTATCTGCTAGTAACGGTTCAATAGATCCCGCCTATCTGCTACCAGACAGTATATTTTTTGGGGAATAAATTTTCTCATGACAAAGAAATTTAAAGTATTATTGTAAAATTAAAACCTTTTCATTTTTGTCAATAAGCAGTGGTGTCTATAGCTTTGTTTCGTTTATCTATGAAACGAAAGTTTTGAATGTATAAAATACCTAGTAAGTAATATATTCTTTTATTTAATTAAGAAAGTTTGTTTGCAATACAGGAATTAAAATTTGAAATAATATATATTTTTTTCTATATCGTCTTTCACGCAGACACAAGATTTTACAAGTATTTTGACACAACGTTTAGAACTCCTAAAGGAAGGTGTATAGAAGTTTCCAGTGTTTTATCTCTTAGCTAACTTGACAATCTTCACACCGCCATATTTTTTTGTGAACATTTTCAAAGTCTGTCTTTTGTCAATATGTTTAAGATCTCTTACACTCTTCTGTCTCATTCACTCACTGACTTTTTATATAGTGAGATTTTAAAAAATCTGCACTTTTTTTCAATTCAGTTCTTATAAATATATGTTACCGGCAATGTGAATAATGCAGGTGTTCTATACAATACCTAGGCAATGTATATAGAATGCCTGGAGCGTAGGCAGTGTATGGAATATTATTAATATTATTTTCCATTTTATACTTTGCCTAGGTAATGTACTCTTGCAATTCCTAGGGATTATATATAGTACCTGCTAGACCAACGGCAATGTGAAATAAACAGATTTAGCTTGTATTTATCTTATTTAAACCTAACCTAGCCTACCCAGTTGCATATAAAAGGACAGACGGATTTTATAATTCTCATCGAATGAATTACAGACCGATGAGTATTTGACAAATTCACAGTGGGCTAGATTTAGTTAGTGTTGTGACCTAAACTTAGCGCGAGCCGAATGAGCTAAGTGAGTGTGCGGCAGCCGCCAGCCATCCCATGGATAATAGATAAATAAAACAAGGAAAAGTCGACGTGATATCTTCATTGACACATTTACCTAGGCAAAATATAAAATAATATTTCATACATGGCCTTGGCGTTTTTGGCATTCTATACATTGCCTAGGTATTGTATAGAATGCCGAATTATACAGATTGCCGGTAACATATATGAACCCTGTCCTGATTATAGCGAACACAATAAAAAAATATCCATTTCGGCGATTCATTTTTATGTTATAGAAGAAGAATATAGATTATTCCAAGAATGTTGAACCATTTTATTAACTATTTGCAAATAAAATGTTTAATTTTGTCTCCAGATGTTTTAGAGTTTATGCCGAGTAATCGCGGTAAAGGACAAGTCTTGATCTACAAGGGTTACACTTATGCCAATATGGGTAACAAGAACCGCTGGTACTGCTCCAAAAAGTCGGGATTAGGATGTAAAGGGAAATTGTGGTTAAAGGATGGCGTGGTAAACCATGAAATTGGCCACGACCACGACCCACCTAAGCTCTTTAGAACGCAAGATGGAAACATAATAAGGATTTAAGTGGGACCAAGTTGAACATGCAGTGATGATGACAACTGGATAATATTGTTTCTATTTTGATGATTTCTGAATTGCGTCACCATTCTTCGAATTTGGATTTCCAACAAGGTTATTACGCAGAAACGAACTGTTTTGATTTGTCCGTTTATGTTTAACTACATTTGAGTTTCTGTTATAGCACCAATAGGCATTTTGTAAATGTTACAACTATCTGCTAGTTACGGCTTATGAGACCCCGTAAGTCCACAAGCAAACAGATGGGATAGCATAGAATATTGTTTGGGAGGATACATTTTCTCATGGTAAAGAAATTTTAAGTATTCATGTAAAATTAAAACCTTTTCATTTTTACAATAATAAGCAGTGGTCTAAAGCTGTGTTTCGTTCATCTATGAAACCAAAGTTTTGTACGTATAAAATGGTTTATATTTTTTTTTGTTTCGTCCTTAACTTAGTAAAATTAAGTTTGCTGTTACGAATGTAACTATAGTTAACTGTCTGCTACTAAATATTTCGGCGATTCATTTTTATGTTATAGAAGAAGAATATAGATTATTCCAAGAATGTTGAACCATTTTATTAACTATCTGCAACTAAAATGTTAAATTTTGTCTCCAGATGTTTTAGAGTTTATGCCGAGTAATCGCGGTAAAGGACAAGTCTTGATCTACAAGGGTTACACTTATGCCAATATGGGTAACAAGAACCGCTGGTACTGCTCCAAAAAGTCGCGATTAGGATGTAAAGGGAAATTGTGGTTAAAGGATGGCGTGGTAAACCATGAATATGGCCACGACCACGACCCACCTAAGCTCTTTAGAACGCAAGATGGAAACATAATAAGGATTTAAGTGGAACCAAGTTGAACATGCAGTGATGACAACTGGATAATATTGTTTCTATTTTGATGATACCTGAATTGCGACAGCATTCTTCGAATTTGGATTTCCAACTAGGTTATTACGCAGAAACGATCTGTTTTGATTTGTCCGTTTGTGTTAAGTTTTTGCTATAGCACCAATAGGCATTTTGTAAATGTTTCAACTATCTGCTAGTTACGGCTTATGAGACCCCGTAAGTCCACAAGCAAACAGATGGGTCAACATAGCATGGAATATTGTTTGGGAGGATACATTTTCTCATGGTAAAGACATTTTATGTATTAATGTAAAATTAAAACCTTTTTATTTTTATAAAAATCTAAGCAGTGGTATAAAAATCTAAAGCTGTGTTTCGTTCATCTATGAAACGAAAGTTTTAAATGTATAAAATGGTTTATATTTTTTTGTTTTGTTCCTTAACTTAGTAAAATTAAGTTTGCTGTTACGAATGTAACTATAGTTAGCTGTCTGCTACTAAATATTTGACTAGATAGAATATTACAGGTATGTTAATGTTGTACTGAGTGCAATTAATAAAATCATTGAAACCTTTTCTTGTTTTTTCAATTATTATATTAGCCCCACCTTAATCGAAGCAGCAAAGTCGATGTTTGATATGGTTTTCGCTATTAAGAATAGCTCTTCCTCTCCAATGTTAATGAAATTATTTTTGTAGAAAATTTGGTTATGGAACGATAAGGCTCGCATATTCGTAGAATGAAAGCCTCTAAATAAATAAAGCGCAAAAAATCTAATTAGATCATTATTTACAAAGAAACAGGTGTTTGTTATGCTCATTTTATTAATTTATCTTCTTTCCATTTTAGCCACTGAGGGAGAGCCAGAATTTCTCAAATATTACAGAACATACCGTAGACTCAACCCAGAAAGGTTTGAATTATCCAGATTCGATGATTCTGAGGAAATGCGAAACCCAGCTGATCGTGTCAGCAATATTCTGAATTCGCTTTTTGACAGAAAAAAGGAGCAGTAAAAATTTGTCTTACTGAAAAGAAACAAGATATATTTTCATTTACTGCCTTACTAAATTAAAAAATATATATAATTAAAGAAGTGTGTCTTACTTTTTTCTGAAACGATATACATAAGCCAACGGTATAGGCAAGGCAAAAGTACCAATAAATATATTTTCATTTTTAATTTTATTTCATTTTTCAATTGTTTTTCCTGGTAGACCAAGTACTTAAATTTAGGCTACGCTAGTCGATCTTACTAATAGTAAACTTTGTTTTTATAAACTTGATTATATTATGAAGTAAAAATAAGTTGCGTCTGCTGTTGTTAGCAACCACCAGTCTGCACTAGACCCGCGTTAAGGTTCAATCAATAAAAAAAAATCTTTACCAAAATGTACATAAATAGTTTTAATACATAAATAAATTAATAGAGCATTATGGACCCTGTCGGGCGCAGCTGAAGAGAGTGAGGCATTTAAGTATGATATATTTTTTTTACTTTACTAACATTAGGTCGACTCACGCTAGGTTGTAGTGTGCCGTGCCGGGCCCAAGCCGAACGTCGGTCTTATTTCGTTCACTCGATTACCGCTCAGTATAGTGTGTGTTCATACAAAATGTATGTTAACCGTGTCGGGTCCAAGCTAAAGCACGGTCTCGTGTGAGTCATCCTCTTTGCCATGGGTCATAGGCTCATACCCCCTAGTTAAGGTAGTGCATAACTGACTATTATCCTTTTGGTGGCGTATTGTTTCTGTTGGTGAGTAAGGTTTCAGGCCTCCACGGGTGGGGGATTGATTCAGAGTAGACAACGGCGGGAGTGATATTTTTGATGTATAACATCTTTCCTCTCGCTTTCCTGCAATTTGTGGGAGTGATTTCGTGAAATGGGACGTAAGTGTGTAACAGGAAGTCGCGAATGCGCGCGCTATTTGATTTGATTTTAGAACATAATGTTCAAATGGCCTATTCCTTTTGTAGTAGGTTTTTTTTTTTTACTAGTATGAGGTGAGGTTTTCAAATGTTACACATCATACGCGACCACTGTAAGGCTCGCTCGTTTTTTTGTATTGCAAATGTCTTTACGGACCTAAATGATGACCGCTTACCATCAGGCGGGAAATAATGTTAATTTTCCAATGATGTTTAAGCCTTATTCTTTCTCATTTTGACTTAAAACAATGGTCAAAAATGGGATGGCGTGTTAAATAGGAGAAGCTTTTATTTGAATTAAACATATTGGTACAAGTAGCTTTTAGAATAATAAAGTAAATCGTCAAGGAAACTCCAAAAGCAAGTCAACTATTTGAGATTAAATTAACAACAATAAAAGCTGATATTGATATTGACCATGATAAATATTTTGGCATTGTACAAAGTGAACGAGAAAGTAAAATATTTAATGACGTTGCAACAACACAACATGAAAAAAAAAACAAAACGTAGGTATATAAATTAAATCACAAGACATTATAATGAAAACTACCAATAGTGTGCCGTGCCATCAAATCGTCTCAGCTATGCTGCTGTGGTAGATGCATTCGCAATTTCACAGTAGCGCTGTTTCTCAGCCAGTGCCTTAAAAGGTGATCTGTGAAAGCCAAACCAATGCGAAAATTAAGAAATTAGAGAGTAACATAATTAAACAATATATATATATGACTACACATGTAGGTACATTATACTACAATTATACCGGCGCTGCACACAGCCACCTTACTTACTTTTTCTGCGTATATATCGAAACTCTTTTGTCTTTGCTTATCTGTACCACTAGCACGAACCGTTATCGAATTCGAATAGTTTGCAAACCGAAATGTCAATGTCAAATTTTGTATGGAAACTTGAACAGCAGCGGCACAAAGTACGTAACGAGAACTAAAAATCAGTACACATTTGACAAAGACATTTCGGACTCGCAAACGATACGAATTCGATATTGGTTCGTGCTAGGGGTACTGATAGCTTTAGTTCTATTAATAGCATTCATATTGTTTAACATTTCATAACAACTGAACTTTACCAAAATCTTCCAGGGTCGGAATCGTTACAGTTTCTTCCGACAGCCGGCAAGACTCCGCTGGTGGTTTACAAACAGTACACCTTCTCCTATAGGCATGGGAAACGCTACCTCGTGTGTTCGAGTCAACTCAGCAAGCAGTGTAGAGCCAGATTGAAAATGGACGCCACCGGACTGAATGTATTAGAAGCCAATGATAACCACACACATCCACCACCTCATCTATATAAACAACACGATGGCAATTATGTTAAAATAAGTTAACAGACGAAACGCGTAATGAATGATCTAAATAGTCGGTGCAACTTTCATAATAAGCTAAACTATTGTGCCATAATCTGCGTAGGACTTGGTATAAGTTCTTTAAGAGTTGGTTGGTCTATATGAAATAATAAAGTCTCATGTGAAGGAACACTATAGCTTTATGTCTTACCGAACACTGGATATTACACAACCCTTACATAATTTATCTTCGATACAAAAATGTGTACGTGCGAACTAAGGGGACTACGGAGGGCGCCTGACTCAATCTTATTTGAGGAGTTATTCTCTCTTATCCCACTTTCCCCTTTCCTTCAGAGGACCACGCGCGCTGGCCTACGGTGTCACCGTCTAACTGTGACCACAATTCCAACGCGTACAAAGAAATTTGGTGACTCATTTCTTTGTCGCATTATCCGTAAATGGAATGCTCGGCCCGCTCACGTGTTCTCTTCCTCTTACAACCTGGGATCCTTTAAAAGAGGCGTGAAGAAACAACATGCAGGCCGGCAGGGTGAGGGTGGCTGGTGTGGCAGGTAGAACTGTTGTATCAGCTATCTTCGCGTCTGGACTTCACCTTCATTTAACATCAGATGGAGTGGTGTCACTTGTCGGACATATCTATAAAAAAAATCGCTCGTCGTCGCGGCACACGTGCAGTAAATGCTTAGTTGACAATACTGTGTCCCTACAGTTCGTTCTTTATGAAATCATGTTCGGTCTCTTTTTACAATTATTTTTAGTTATTATATCTTTCTCCTTCAATTTTGCATTACAAAAGGTGCCTCTCAGTTTTGCGAATAGTAAACTTGTAGGCATAACTCACACTGGCGCAGAGTCGCGGCATGTACCCTGTAAAAAATTATTGTTTATTTTCCCACTATAAATCTTACACCTTACGCTGGTATGGAGTCGAAGCGTCGTGCTATGTTTTTCGCCTTTGGAATACCTTTATCATCATCATCACCAGCCTTAAAGTTAAAGTCCCCATTGCTGGGCCACAGGCCTTCACTATGGATGGAATGGGGAGATTGCCATGAAGCCATGACCCTCCACGCGGGCCCAGTGGGGCTTCCATACAACCAACAGACGTGATTATTTGCTGTTTTTTTGCTCGATATTATAATATAATTTCTAATGGTACGGAGTCTCATTCGCGAGTCCGACTCGCACTTTGTCGTTTTTTTAAGACAAAAGTTTATAAGAAATAACCTAATTTTGTATTTGTTCACAGAATCAGACAGAATAACGTTTTTACCGATAGGAAAGGGTGCATACTTAAACATGTACAAGTCATACACGTTCTCATATAGGAACCGTAAACAGCAGCTCGTTTGTTCGAGTAAAGCTAGCAAGAACTGTAATGCGAAACTGTACATGGACCCAAGTGGTGTGATTGTGAAAAGGGCTGTAGATGAGCACAACCATCCTCCACCTAAATTACACAAGACATCCAGTGGAACCTATTTTAAACTGTACGTCTAACTGACGTACAGCATAAATTTTAACCTCACGTAAGAGTCTTTAATGGTCTATTATTTTTTGTATAACACCTTTTTATGTACATATGGTTCAGCAATAAATGATGATGATGAAAGCCGACTACAACTAAACAAATATGTTTTTTTTAGTCCATTCTATCATATTGTATTACTATGTAAGTGCTAGATAAATAAGCCTCTCAAAAAAGGCAGAAATTATCTTTAAATGGTATGTTTTAAATGTTCCCTGGTAGAGATTGCTACCTTAGCAATAAGGCCGTCTTTTGTGTTTG